TTTCCTGGTCACGAGATTAGATCTAATAACTCTTGTCAGACCCGACAGGAAGGTTGGGAGGGGTTCGGACAATACGTGACAGGTGAGAAACGTGACAGTTTTAACATGGAAATAAACCCCTTTTGTGCGACGTATGCTGTATAGATGACAACATAATATACCTTAAATTGTACCTGCAGTTGTTGGCTGCGAGAATAGATTGGCAATTAATACGTCAACTTTCCTTTCGTTTTAACAGCCGCGCTCCTCTTTGACAGGTGATCATCTAGGCGCGGATAATTCCTTTTCCACGCGGAAAAAATCCCTCTTACAACTTTGATTCTTATCTCTACTTTCGTAGGGACAAAATTGGATTTTTCAGGAAAAGACCCCCAGCTAATTAATATTAATTTACAGTCGTGCCACATTTTTATATCCAAAATCTGCATTTATCGAAAGGCGAACGAGCAGATAACCCGCGGCGTTAATGCGAAAATTTTGTATTTTTTCCTTCTCTCTTTTTTTTTAAAGTAACCGGAGGAAAGAATCGTTCCCAATGCAGATTATTATTGGAATCTGCGCTCTCTCCACTGAAAGATTAATCAAATTTTCCTATCTACGATTGTTTTTTAAAATGACCGAAGTAAACACAGCTTTTTATAATAATAAGGCAATCGATAAAGAAAAAAAAAAAAAAAAGAGCGCTTTGGTCGTTTTAGCTCGGGGGTTGTTGGTTGATCCTAACAGAAAACTTCAAAGGAGCAGCAGCAGCATCGTTTCCGCCCGTCCGGTTGAGAATAGAGGAGGTAAAACAATCAAAGTGGCAACACTGATAAAAGCCAGGCAACTGATTAGCTACTTCCGGACAGGATGCGCCCTCTAAAGGAATGCGCGTTAATTATCCACCAGAAGGTACTAATCGATCGGTGGGCAAACAATCGCACTCGTTAGTCAGGCGGAAAAAACGGCCGCCTCGCCTTCTTTTTATGACACGACCAACGACAAGAAGCATTCGTAACATTTACACTCGCCGCAGCTTAATTCAAATAGGGCAGAGGAATATACGCAAACTAACCGCAAAAATCCTCCCTACGCTCACAACAGGAATTCGATCCCCTTATTTTTTTTTAAATCTCCCGCAGTACTAATTACTTTTAAAAAATAAACACCGAGTTGCACACAATATTATCCTTCTAGTCGTATAACACAGACAATCTATACATAAATGCAGTATAACGTATATAGGGAGAAAAAAGCATTTACGATCCTATTCATAAATAATACTTTCACCTATATCGCCAGTTAAATCTTTCATCCGGATATACGCCACTAACAGTTTTATTACTAGATATATCTGTCGTTGGAGGCGAAGATAATAAAATATTAAACAAACGCCAGTAGGGATGCTATTTCGGCCAATAATTCGGTATCAAAGGTGTCAAGCAAGAACGATTTTAATTGGAAGCGGCGGAGAGGGAAGCGTGTCGGTAACGCCAACGGACACACCGAGTGGAAAGACGTTCTAAAAGATCAACACAAGTCGTTAGAGAATAAATTAGGCTTAGAGCGGAGGCTTTGGATCCAAAGCCGCCGACGGTGGCCGCGTTTTACAGCCCTTTTTTTTATTTCCTACTTTCTTTCTTCCCCCGGCGCCGCGGCCTGGACATATAAGAGGATATATCTGAAAATCCCCATATCGAAAGACAGCAAACATCTAAGTGCCAGAGAGAGGCGATTAGATTGAGTTACGAGACTGGTCCATCGTTAGGCGATGGCTGCTACATAAATCTAGTTGCAGTCGGCCGAACCTGTTCCGGGACTGGGAGGGTGATGTACTGCAGGCCATTAGGCCCGGCTATAAATAAACATAGGGGGAGAAATTCTGTTAAAATTTCAGGTCGCCGGCACGGCAAACAAGCGTATAAATCTCTGGCTTTTACTGCCGCGGCCCGTCACACGATACGACGCTTTTGCTTGTCCGCTCTTTTAACACTACAGCCGTATAAAGTCCAGACGTTTCCTGCACCTGACGTTTGTCTTCGCCCTCGACCGTTTCGCCAGCCAACCACAATTAGTCTCTGCATTATAAACAGGTGATAAAACACAACGGCGGTTTTTCTCCATTGCTATTTTACCTTTTCGTTTTTTTATTTAACCCTAATAAAAAAAAATACTATGCTGGGAACGCTCATGAAGAAAATATTTTAATTTCGTCTCGGCTTTGTTTGAAATGCAGCAACCTAAATACGCAACATTCTCTCGGTACACGTACCAACGCCGAGCCATCAGATAAGCACCGGTTTTCCCAGTTCGGTTAGTAACGCACGGTAGAACGCGGCCAGATCGCGCCGTCTGGTACCCTACTTTAAAAACTTTCTGAAGGTTTTACCCCCTCCATTTATATTCTTATATATGGGTAGCGGTAGCATTTGAAAATACACCTACCACACCTAACGTCGCCGAGTTGGAATGAAAAATGATTCTGCGTGCAACGGTCAACCGATTCGAGACTAGAAACCCACTACATCCATCACACCCGTCCAACACCCCGGTCGTACGTGACGCAGAAAGAGCGAGATGATGGTAAAATTGCGTGCAACCCGTTTCACTTTCGTACCGGCAATCACCGCCGCTGATGAAGCGAACACACGAATGTGCCACCGACCCAACGGCACGTGCGGGTTGGTGACGTCACAGACGCCATTGGAGTCGCGCACACAAACACACACACACACGGCAGACGGCCGTCTCGTTTTATTGCTAGTGCCATGCCCGTTTCCAACGATTAAACGCTACCCGATAAATACGTTTACGCAAAAATGGCGGTAGAGAGCTTTCGTATTCTGCCATCTTTCCGTTCGACGGGCGCACCAACGGGATTGGAATTCGCTATGCCGTATTTTAAAACTCCACATATAGGGGAAAAAGCGGGGAATATTTGTCAAGAAAAGAGAAGGTGTCTGTCAGAGCGGAGACAAACCTTCTATTGACGACAACTCAATGGTCGGTTAATGGTAGCCGTATGTCATTTTAAAGACGATGGTAGCGACACGCCACGCTGGAGATTAACGTCGCCGGTCTATGATTTATGGCAGCAATTTCGTGCATTCAGCGTCCCAACTCCATCCATTCCCATGTATCCGTTTTTATTCTCTCCTCTATACTTTTGGCGGCTGCTGTACATAACGCAGCTGTTCTAGATGCTCTACTAGCTTGTATTATTTTACTGTTAATAGTTTCCTGTTTTCGACAGCTTACAGATATTAATAAGTGTGATTTATGACACGCAAAATTTTTCTCGCTGAGGTCTATAAATTGATTACTTAGTGAAAATATTCCATCGTCCTATTTTTAAGCAGACACAATTTCCGATCGGCTTTAACTTTGTAAAAAAAAAAAAAAAACTAGCGTAGAAAAAAAAACCACTTGGAATTTTTTTTTATTCCGCTTAAACGCATCGTAACTCGATAATCAGAGATGTAGAGGCCGCCATTTCGTATCCATTGCAATCAACTGCACGGGGATTGGAGTCATCATTCAAGGAGACTGACTCTAATTGTGATAGATCCCAGCCTAATAATGAGTGATGTTTTCCTGTGGGACTGTCGCTTTTCCAGATGTTATTTGTACATGTTGCTCGTACGTTATGTACCGAATTTATAAGTTGCGTTATTTCGTCTTTTTACCTTTAATATCAAATTTATATTCCAAAGAAATTTATTATGTAATAAGCAAATTACATAGAACTTTATATATATATAAAAAAATACAGCTGATTGCGTAGATTCTGATGTTTAAAAATATTTAAAAACTGCAATTCGCCAACTTTTCTCCCCTCTATCTTTTCTAAACGAAAGGCAAGTTGAAAGGACGACAGATGGTTCATACTCGGTGCGAGTTTGGAGAAGAACTAACTAAAACTGCCGCGTGTGATAGTTTCCCTCGTTTTTCGTTAAGAGACCAGGTGACGCCATTTTACCGCAAGACGTGTCTCGTAGAGACGAAGGTAGAGAGTGACAACGAGAATCCTTATACAGTACGGAACATACTATAGTCGAAACCTATTAACTCTGCAGAAATGTTCTCTTTTCTTTTTCAAATCTATACATAAAACGAAGCTGATCTTACACACACATACTCGAGTTTTCGCTTAACAAACGTCATGCATCCATTTTACATCTATGTTATAGTAACGCATCTATGCTATTATATTTACTATTTAAAATAATATATTAGTGATCAAATATCGATTATATACATTTGAAATACTGTAGTTATCTGATAAGTTAGAAAATCCCTCACTTCAATATCAAAACAAAATGAATTTAAATTTATAATTTAAAATTTATTTTTTTTTTTTGACGTCCCTTTATTCACCAAACTTTCCACGATAATTATCTTGGCAATGATAAATATACTCAATTAAAAATTTGTAAATACAAATTTAAAACAATAAAGAAAAATAAACTTGCATCTTTAAGACTGTTATGTAAGCAATATGTACAACAAAATTAAATTTATTTTTGTACTTCTCATCTATTCATTATTATTTATTTTGTCATATATATATGTAATAATAATGATATTTATGTAGTGTGTGTTATATGACTTGGAAAAGTGGCATTGTTTGTAAATATTTATCAGAAACTGGTTAAGAAGGGGAGGGAAAAATCAGATTTTTTATTTATCTTTCATAAATTAAAAATAATTAGGAACCCATATTAATATTTCACTTAAATTAAAAAAAAAAAAAAACTGAATTTCACTGTAGACAAAAAATATTCTGAAATGTCATATTAAATTCCTTTTGCACATTTTTTTTTCTCTCTCTGAAATGAATTTACAGTTGTTTAAATACAGTAATGAAATTACTCCATAAATGATATTGAACAGAAGAAATTATTAAATATTTAATTCTTAAAATTATATAAAAGGTTCCTATATATCACAAAATGTTTAAAAGATATACAATAAAAAAAAAAAAAAGAAAAACTCCTATGTTCAACAGTTTCCATAAAATTACAAAATGTTAAATGCCAAATAAATTTCTATATTTATAGATAATATAAATTCAAAATATTTCAATTTATGATATAAACTGAAAAGCCAAAAAATAATAATAATAAATGAATTTAGAATTTCAATATTGTCATCTTCCTTTAAAATCCAGCACATTCTTTGACATATTTCTATTTGCTAAGATGACTTGTTTGCAGTTTCTTTCCACTGCCAAGAACATACACCTTTCTATGTTTCATACAGTGAAAAAGAATTTTGAATAAGTTTATCATATATATATATACTTGTTTAAAAGTTCTTTTCCACTGCTCAAATATATATATATAATAAAAAATTTCAGTGCAAAATTAAATATGCATATTCATAATTATGGACTGTGAAGAAAAAATTTTAAATATCCTACACAAAATAGACAAAACATTAATATTCTTTGTTAAAACAAAGTTGTATAATGTGTATTTTCATAAAGAATCAACAAAAGAAGTGGAGAAGGAGAAAAAGATGGAATGGGAAGTTTTCTCCATTCCTAAATAGTTTCTGATAACACACCTGCATGCACATACACACATACTTGGTTCCAAACAACAAGTGCCACAATATTCCTTTCTTGATGTGACAGCACCTGAAAAACCAAGTGATGATGATGACATGAAGCACTTTTTCCTCTATCAATTTCAATTGTCAAGAAATGCACTTTTTTTTTCAGCAAAATACACATTAAACACTGTATATATCTGGAAATTATTATGTACATCAAAATCGGATGATTAACATGTACAAGTCAGCATGTCAGTTTTAAAAAAACTGACAAAAGATATATTTGACTATGGTGCAGTTTCTTGTAGATTAAGATTCATGTGTTTGTAAAATTACTATGTTAACTGGATTCAAGAACTTCAACCACTCTTTGGATGGACGTAATACCAGTAGTTCCCACAACACCCTGAAATATTAAGAAAAAAAAGAATAGTTTTATGAATGTTTTATTTTATTGAATATTAAAAATATCTAACAAATATTTAATATATTTAAGTAACTTAAATATATTAAATAAGCATTATTATTCATTTTAATTTAAGCAAAAGAATTTTAAAATGTGCTTTACAATTGATTAATTTTTTTTAAACAATGTGGATTTTTGTTTATTTTCTAAGTAATAAAAGAATAGTGTTAAATAATAAAATAAAATTAATTATGAAAATTATTTATATTGTTATTAATAATAATAATTTCTTTATCTACAAATAATAAGCTTATTACTACTGAATATATGAATATTAAAAACTATATTTAATGCATATTTTTCTTCATACCAACAAAGATTAGTGGAGTGAGACAAAAAAATCTGGATTGAATTTATCATAACTTTTGAACCCAAAAAGATAATTTTAAAATCTTTGTTCCAAAAATTACATCATTACTAACAGCTCGACTTTTAGGCACAAAAAAGTTTGGGAAAAAGGCTGAAAAAGGGCAAAAATAGGCGCAAAAAATTTACGTGTCAGAAAACACAACTAGTTTTATTCAAATCAAAATTTGTTGTAGTACACAATATTTATCATTTCAATGTGTTTTTCTGTAAAGTTCATTTGCTTCTCTCCTAACAGATATTTATGTATGGAGAAAGATCATACCACTTCTACAGAAACAAATGGAGTAAACTGTGTTTTAATTCTTTGGTTTATTTCTTTGCAATGAACAAATTTGTGAATATCTAGGTTTTTTAAATTGAAGCTTTTCTTTTAATGCCCTTTTAATAGTCTAGAGCAGTGGTTCTCAAACTTTTTTTGCAATGGAACCCTTTTACATTATTTGTAATATAATGGAACCCTTATTTAAATTAATACTTATTATAATAAAAGAAATATTTTATTTGAATCACACCATAAATTGGAATATTAAATTTTAGTGAGATGAATGCATCTGTTTTTTTAACGTAAGTATCCTCTGGAAATTTGGTTTTATGCTTGATAACTGGATTCTCATATCTGGGGCGGCATCCAGTCTGCTTCGATACTTAGTTTTCGTGCTAGCATATCTTGAAAATCCTGATTCACACCAATATGTCGTCGTAAAAGGCAAAAGTATTTTTATGGCCTGTTTGGATATTTCAGGATATTCTTCAAGTAGATTCCCCCAGAATACATCTAACGGCACTTCTTCAAATTTAGCCTTTAACTGAGTATCGGATGTAATTTCTATTAATTTCTCATAATCCACTGACAGAAATCCTGTTGGTTTTTTTGTTACTGTGAATGGATTTTGTACCCAATAATATTCTTTGTACTCCAAGTTAGGAAAATACTCGGTAAGAGATGAGGATAAGCTGTTGAGATGATCTTTAATTTCATCGAGTGTCTCTGTGTCCAATTCCATTTCAGACTCTTGTAGAAATTTAGTAAGAAGTGGAAAACAGTCAAAATTATCATGTTCTACTTCTGAAATCCAGTACTGTAATTTACGAGATAAAGATATCATATTATCTTGAGTTCGAAAAATGTTTGTTTCCTTTCTTTGTAGAGATAGGCATGTTTCATTCAACTTTGAAAAAACATCTGCTAAATATGTAAGTTTTGCTCGCCATACATTATTTTTTAATCTGTCAGACAAATTAAATTTATGTTCAAGAAAGTAAAACTGCAATTCTTTTATCAATTCAACCATTCTCACCAGCACATTTCCTCTTGAAAGCCATCTTACTTCTGTATGTAAAAGAAGAGTCGTTTGATGGCTACCCATATCTTCACATAAAGCTTTAAATACTCTTGATTGTAATGGCCGAGTCTTAATAAAATTGATAATTTGTACGGCTTCGTCCAAAACTACCTTTAATGAAGCAGAAATTCTTTTTGTCACTAATGCGTATCTGTGAAGAATGCAGTGATTACTGCTGCAGTTTTTTGCAGCATTTTTTATTCTAGTTACAGCACCAGATAATTTTCCCATCATAGCCTTCGCTCCATCAGTGCACACTGAAATGCATTTATCCCAACCAATACCATGATTTGTTATATAATTATCAACACAATCAAATATATCTTTTCCTGTGGTATGAAGCTCTAAACTTTTACAGAAAAGAAAATTGTCCTCAATTCTTTTATTGAAGTCATATCTAACAAACACAAGTAGAATTGCCAGTCCAGCCACATCTGTAGACTCATCCATTTGCAACGCGTAAGCATCACATGCATGCAGTCGTGAAATAAGTTCGGTTTCAATGTCATCAGAAATATCAGCAATACGCCTCGACACTGTATCATTAGATAGAGATATAGATTCAACCTTTTGAGCAGACTTTTCATCAAATACACATGAAACTATATCTTTCAATATAGGTTTTATCAATGATTCACCGATAGTGTGTGCTTCGCCATGAAGAGAAATATGGTAAGATGCTTTATATGATGCTTCAGTTGCATTTTCATTGTCTGTTCTGCATTTCTTCACCATGAAATTTGTAGTTTTATTGAAACTTTCAAGTTTCCTTTCAAAAAAAGATTTATCCTTATTTTTATAGACACTATGCCTGGTCTCCATGTGTCTTTGCAACTTTGCTGGTGCCAACGAACTGTTAGCTAATCTTGTGTGACAAAGTATACAAATGGCGTCTGGGGCTTCTTCATCACCAGTACTAGTAAAGCCATATGACAAATACTGAGGATCATACTTGCGTTTCTTTTTGCCTGGCTGCCGTTCAGAACAAGAGGGAACATATTCCATGTTTTTTGAACTAGTTGCAGATTGTTCCTTTGCAAGTTCATCTTTTTCTGTATCTTCTTTGGATGTTGTTGCTTTACTAATCCTTTTTAACCACTGATCCATTGTAGGGCATTAAAAATAGTAAAAATAATTTGAGTAGAAGAAATGCTTACGGTAACAGTAGAGCAGCACAACCTTACTGCACGTGTGTAACTAACCGATAAAGCCAGCCATCACCAATGTTGCCAACTCTGAATAATCTAGTCTGGCAACACTTGCTGTCAGTGGGAATTCATTGATGTTATAAGATATGATATGTACCAATTTCTTATGTTACGATTAAATGTTGCTTTTCAATGTAGCTTCACGGAACCCCTGACCTTGCTTCATGGAACCCAAGGGTTCCGCGGAACCCACTTTGAGAACCACTGGTCTAGAGCATGGGTTGTCAACAGTTTTTGCCCTAGGGCCGAATTGGAAAGAAAACTTTTTTCACGGGCCAAACCAGAGGTTGTCCTAGTAAGATTTTGAGTTGGTGTGAGATCTCATTGTGGTGTCATCCCATAGAGACTAAATTGTACATAGAGATTACAGATATATTTTTCACATTATCATGCTTTATAAACATTCTACACTGTACTTAAAGAAATTTGTAATGGAGGGTTAACTCACAGCGACTTTTTTTTTTAGGCATCAGAATTTTTCATCGAGCTATTCGGACTTCAGTAGCTAATGTTGAAAGATTAATCGCAGGACGCATAAATTCATTAGACGGGCCGAATGTTGGCCATGCCTGGTCTAGAATTTCTTTCACTATTCCCCACTGACATTCCACAGCATTTCTGGTTTCTTTCTAACTTTTTATTGCATCTACTTATAATTTAAATGTGTATATTGCATATTGCCTCTTCCAATTTTTGGTCTTTAGTGAGCTGTGGAATTTTATGTATAGCAGCAGTTTCTGGCTACAACTGTTCAAGAAATTCTGAAATCTGAAAGTTTTCACAGTGACACACTGCAATATAAGTTTTCCAGCAAATTATTTAGGGAACAGATGAAAGATGCAAACTAGTAATATCCTTGTTACAAGTAATTTACAAAACTTGGTAGACATTCCCCATAAGCAATGCACAGTCATATTGCTCAAAAACTGTGTCAAATAAGCTTGGGCTACCGAACTAAGAACAGGTTTGGCTAAAGAAGTTAGTCCAGAAAGGGAAGAGGAAGAAAAAGACAAGTATAAGAATAGATACTTTAAACATTGAATGGGAAGAGCAGAGAGTTGGTTGATCTTATGCAAAGAAGGAGAGTAAACAGCTTGTTATATAAATGTCTACTAGGACAGATCTTATTAAAATGACCAAGTGAACAATAAACATTGTTTGTTTTCTCTGAATAAGTTTTCCTCAATTGCAAAAACCGAACACCAATACAATAAGATCTGTTCTAGTAGATATTTACAAAACAAACTGTATAAAATAAGGACATAAAGGCATATGAATTAAGGAGCATGAACATTTTGTGCCTTTATTTACTTATAGAGCACTAAATTGGCCTCTCTTTATTTCTAGCCTTATTACACCACTACATGACATCAGATTAGCCTTAGAAAATCACTTTAATAAGAATTCATTTTGGACCTTAAGTCCCTCATCAGCTTGTTCGACAATAAATGATCATGAAACTGATGTTAGCACATTTACAAAAAGTACAATAAAATTATGACGATTGGTAAAACAACTATGATAAAATATTGATTACAGATGAGAATTTCCGGGTGTTTGATTTAAATTGCTGATTCGCCACATTAAAATTAAACAAGCAGTAAAAAATATGTACGTAATAAAAGACACTGTTAAAACAATAAAATAGAATAATAAACTGATACACTGTTAAAACAATAAAATAATAAATATATTCAGTGTTAAGACAATAAAATAATAAACTGAATCACTGTAAAACAATAAAATGATTTGAAGCACATTTTAGAATCAATTAGTGCTCACAAGTAAATACAAACCTAGACAAGAAGTGTATCATAATATTTTGTGACTGCAAGAGACAAAATGGAAAGGAAATAAAGCTAAAGAACTTGGTGGGTGAAGGGTACAAACTGTTTGCAAGTGGAGCAAATGAAAGAGGAAGGAATGGCATTGGTAATGTAGTTGATAAAACTCTAAAAGACAGAGTCTGTGAGGTTAAATGAAGGCATGATAGAATTACTAGTTATGTAATGCTGTATCA